AAATCTGAATATATTACACACAAACTCTTTAATTAAAACAATAAAACACAATTTTAATATTCTTTACTTATTATTAACAGTAGGTATAGGAACCGGTAGTTTTAGTGGTGGACAACCGGTGAACATACCAAACAGCATACCTCCATTATAAAACCACTCGACAGCAAACATGTATATAACAAGTGTGAGGGGTCGGGGTTTTATGTATTTGATCACTACCCCACCTAATATGATACCGACAGCCATGGGAAGTACAGATGTGGTACCAGTGATGAGACTGGCACCGGAACTGGTCTGTCTGAACTGAGACTCAATATATTTGGTTTTGTTTATGTAATAACCGCCTAATCCTATATAACGAAAGGCATTCCCAATCGTATGAAACATAAATACAGGATTTGTAGCTAAACGCTTGATCGCATTCACAATACCTATAATAATAAATGATTAACAGTTTTTGAATAATGTGGTTCAGTATAGTATACTGTATTGTAGTGCTTAACAGACCACTGAAACCTTTGATATTGTTTGCATTATCCACGGCCTTAACAGTTGCTGTTTTGAGTTGTTTTGGGAATAAAAACATTGGGAGACTGACTAAGAATAATAGACCGCCTATGACTATAAAACCAATCCACCATGCTCCTATAAATCTAGGATCTCGCCTGGTAATTCCCGGGTTAACTATAAAACATTTAATTAATTTCTAGTTGTATTTTAATTTTATAGCAATAATCTGATAGTAATGCATACGAAATGGGTTTTCATATAACCGTAGAAATAGTGAGGCCAATAGGAAACCCCCGGCCGGACCCAAGAATCTCAGAGCAGATACAATGCTCAAATAAAGGGCCGAATTGTTCTTGCTTACATTATCGTCAATATAAGGAAAGCCTATTACGAAATATGCCGTAAATCCGAGTCCCTTAACAAGACTGCCGATCCATATGAGCACTACAGCCGCCCATACAGTCGAGTGCTTTCCAGTGCTGCAGTCGATATCGGTGTGATTGGCCGCACAGAACTCATAACGGGTTTCATTGCGACTCAATTGGGACAGTAAGCTATCGTCGTAGAGTAGGTGTGTGCCCGGACCATATATGAAGTATGGCAATGCGGTTATAATACAAGACAGGGCTACTATAAGCTCACCCGTGGCTATCATACGCGGCCTATTGAACCGATTGCCTAAATAACCAATGATTGGACTCAACTTTTGGTTGAGTATAAAAATTAAATTTTATTTATCACTAATTAAATTATAATTAATTTGCAAATCTTTATAATAAAAAATCTTAAATTAAATACAGTTTTTATTTTTAAGATACTAAAATTTAGATTCCGATACTATTAATTATTTACATTATGTTATGTGCTAGGACAATATAAGAATTATTATGTAAATTGACTACAAAATTAATTGAACTGAACAGTATTAACAGTAAATAATTAGTTTATAATAATATTATTATATATTTTGACAATTTTTTACACTTACTGTAAGTTCGACGATATTATCGGCAATTAATATAAATCCCGCGATTTTGGAGTCAAATGCAAACCTTTTCTCGAGTGTACTCATAGTTGCGATCAAATAGGTTCCCGCCATAGTCTGGATTATACCTATCAGTCCGAAGTTTATGGTGAAAAACAAGGGACTGGCAAATACTTGCAGCCATTTAGGCCTCCACGAGCCCACACCACACGAATACCGATGCTCATCATCATCGGCATAGTCGGGCTGGTTATCAAATTCACTACCCTTTGAGACTTGATTTAATTGTATATCAGTTATAGGCATTATAATTGTTTTTAGTTTTACTATACTAAACACTGAATGCTACATGAAAATCATTACCAGAGCTCTCATTTCAAGGAATACTAATGCATAGCATCACGTGAAAAAATATGATAAGAAAATACTTGATAAACATTAAAATTCTGAAAGCATGTGATTTTGCTGTAAACATATTTTGATTTTCACTTCAATTGCTAACAATTGAAAATATTTTAGTCATTT